TGTTTTTAAAATTTCTTTTGATTTTTTATCACTATTTTTTATCATGCTTGGTCAAAATCATGTGTAATAAACCTGCAAATAATGCAGAATCAGTGTAGTTTTATCTCCTTGTTTTTGTTTATAACCACTCTCTATGCTATACTCAAGCTTTTCATTCCATTATTCACTATTAACACTTGCCTACCTAAGTTTTCTCAGAAAAATCTGAATATCTGCAACTGCTCCAACAATAAACCAACTCTTAAACATTTTCTTAGCATTTATTTTCCTGATAAGATTGTTCAGTAAGGTTGAAGACTGAATGAAAGATTAGTTACATATATACACTTAGAAAAATGAATGAGTTGTATCTTTCCCCATAATATAGATATAATATCAGCACCTTCAATAAAGTTCTGTAAAGTCCAAGATGCCTTCAAGCCCAAAGTATAAGTACCAGATCTATTATATAAACAGGCTTACAAGGCTGTGCCCCATTATGCTATCCCATCCAATAGCAAGAGCTAAGAAAAATCTTAAAGTCATCTCACCCTTTTTAATAAAGCAAAATGATCATAATTCAACAACGAGTAAGTTCTACCAAATTTGCATATTCATCTGATCGTTACCATAGATAATGAATTGGTGTTTCTTAGTCTTCTCTAATGAGAGTTTTTGTATAAGGTGAACAAAGGACACGATCTTATGCTATGTTCTACTCACTACATACCCCAAACAATATAATATCTAGTTTTTAACATGTTTCAAGACTAATCTTAATAGGATTTTCCACTAGGAAAAACTATTTGTAATTTAACAGTTTCCTGAAATTAAAAATATGATCTCCTTTTATGGAGAAATAATACCAGATAAAATTTGCCAGTAAAATCACAATTTAAATATTAGTGTCAGCTCATAAAATCTGTATTCTGTTCCTCTGGTCAGAAATGGAAATTCCATAGTTTACTTGCTTTTGCTTTCTTCTAAAGAACGATAAGGGTCTCTTTTTTTACTGCCTTTAGTAGGATAACATGATCAAAAAGTCCTCTTTAAAGGGCATTGCATATAACATTGATTCATTTTTCTGCAAAAAAAAAGGTAGTTTTAGTAATCTAAATCAAGAATGATTTAGTTATCCAAGAATCTTTGTAAACCCTAGTCACTAGACTAGAAAATACAATAAGAAGTACATGTAATAAAATAGCTGTATTTTCTTTACAGATCATTTATTATTTATTAAAGCGAGTATAAATATATTTTAATAATAAGCATCCAAGTCTTACATGAAAACAAATCAACATGAAAAGCTTATTTAAAAGAAAACAGATGGGGACTGAATTGAATCTGTTCATTGTTTTTAGTAATATAGCCATCTTCTCAATATTAATTCTACCAATCCATGAACTGAACCAAGGAGATCGTTCCATGTCCTTATGTCTTGCTCAGTGTTTTATAGTTTTCATTGTAGAGGTCATTCACATCGTTAGTGAAGAGTACTCCTAAGTATTTTTCTTTGAGACTGCTGTGAATGGGACAATTTTCCTGATTTCTTTCTCTGCATATTCATTGTTGGTATATAGAAAAGATAATGATTTTTTTTTTTTTCGCAGTATTGAGGTTTGAACTCTAGGCCTCACACAAGTGCTCTACCACGTGAGCCACTCTACCAGCTCTGTTTTGTGTTGAATTTTTTTGAGATAGTGTCTCACAAACTATCTGCCCAACAGGCTTCAACTTCTGTCTTCCTGATCTCTGCCTCCCAAGTAGCTAGGATTACAGGCACGAGCCACTGGTGCCCTGCCTGATTTTTTTATGTTGATTTTATATCCTGCTATTTTTCCAAAGTTCTTACAGAAATAAAAGCATTTTGATGGAATCTTTGGGTCATTTAAGTATAGAATCACATTGTCTGAAAATAGAGATAATTTGATTTCTTCCTTTTCTATTCGTATCCCTTTTATTTCTTTCTCTTTCTTATTGCTCTGGCTAGGAATTCAGCACTACATTGAATAAAAATGGAGAGAGTAGACATCCTGTCTTGTTCCTGATTTTAGAAGAGATAGTTTCAGTTATTTCCCCATTTAATACAATGTTGGTTATAGGTCTGTCATACAGTATTTATTATATTGAGGTAATTCCTTGTATTCCTAGTTTCTTCAGGGCTTTTATCATTGAAGGGATGTTGAGTTTTGTCCAAGGTTTTTTCTGCATCTATTGAGATGATCATGTGATACTTGTCCTTTATTCTGTTCATGTGCTGTGGTATGTTTACTAATTTACATATGATGAAACATCCTTGCATCTCTGGAATAAAACACACTTAAGTTGCATGATCTTTTCAATGTGTTGCTGAATTTGGTTTACAAGTATTTTATTGAGAATTTTTGCATTGATGTTCATCAAGGAAATTGATCTATAGTTTGATATTTTGGTTGTGTACTTATCCAACTTGGGTATCAAAGTAATACTGGCTTCATGTAATGAGTTTCATAGAGTTCCTTCACTTCTATTTCATGGAATAGTTTGAGGAGCATTGATGCTAGTTCTTCTTTAAAGGTCTGATAGAATTTAGCAGTTAATTCATCCTGTCCTGGACTCTTCTTTGTTGGGAGACTCTTTATTACTGCTTCAATCTCATTGTGCATTTCATATCTGTTTAAGTGGTTTTATCCTCTAGGGTCAATTTAGATGGTATGAGTCTCAAAATTTTTCTATTTCTTCTAGATTATCCAGTTTATTAGAATGTAAGTTTTTAAAGTATTTCCTAATGATCTTCTGAACTTCACTGATATTTGTTATGATATTCCCTTTTTCATCTCTAATTTTATTAATTTTTATTTTCTTCCTCCTTCTTTTGGTTAGTGTAGCTATGTGCTTATTGACCTTGTTAATCTTTTCAGAGAACTAACTTTTTGTTTCATTGGTTCATTTTGGTTTTGTTTTGTTTTTTTTTTTTTTAGTTTCCATTTAACTGACTTCTGCTCTGATCTTTATTATTTCCTTCTACCCACTAATTCAGGGTTTGCCTTGTTCTTGTTTTCCTAAGAGCTTAAGGTACAGCATCAGGTATTTATTTGAGATCTCTGTGATTTCTTTTTGTTGTTTTCATTTTTGTTTACCACATATTAATACAAGAGAATTTCACTGTGCAAATTCAGCCAATATATGTATACAGCATACCTCAAACAAGTACACCCCTCCATATATTCCTATCCTCCCTCCCTCTTCCCCACTCTTTAAAACAGTGCTTGGTGAGTTTCATTATGTTGTCTTCAAATGTATATATGCAGTGTACTTCTACCTCTTCATTCATCAGTATCTCATTTCTTAATGTAAGCGATGATGACGGAGGTAGGGGAAGGGGAGAGAATCCTCACATGCTGTTAGTGGGAATGTAAATTGATCCAACCACTATGGAAATCAGCATGAAAGTTCCTCAAGAAACTGCAAATAAGACTGTCATATGACCCTGTTATATCACTCTTGGGCCTATACCCAAAGGAATGTAAACAAAACTGCAAGAGAGAGATATTTGCACAACAATACTTATAACAACCCTATTTATTGTAACCAAGGTACAGAACCAGCCTAGGTACCCAACAACTGATGATTTGATCAAGAAAATGTGGTACACATGTACAATTATTATTCAGGCATAAAGAACAAGGAAATTATGTCACTTGCAGGAAACTAGATGAATCCAGAAATCACCATGTTAAGCAAGATAAGCCAAGCTCAGAAAGACAAATGCTGCATATTTCTCACATATGCAGATCTAGACCTAAAAAAATAATATGACATGATTGTAAAAAAAAAAAAAAACAGAAGGACTGTTTGGGGAAGGAGAGCCAGGGGATGGGAAGCAGGGGAAAGGAGAGGTTAATGGGGGTGGTGGGGGCGAATATTATAGGAATACATTATGCCTGTATTAAATAACCCAGTGAAACCCACCAAAAACTGTTTAACAGGAAGAGAGAGGAGAAAGCATGATTAAGAAAAAGTAATATAGACAGGGTGACTTTGATCAAAGTACATTATATGAATGTTGTAAAAAAATCACAATGAAATCCCTTTGTATAATCAATTTATGTTAATAAAACATTTAAAAATAAAAATGAATAGATATGCATAAGTCATGAAACAGATATTTGGTAAAAATTTTCTTTAAAAAACCCACTTATATAAAAGAAGTCAAAATTAATAGACTTCTTATTAGTTTAAAAAGTATTTAAACAGCACTGGCACATGGAGCAAACAGTTCAATTTTTTTCAGGGAATGTGAGAATAATATCTTGGCCATTTCAAGTGGTTGATGTCTGAGGCAAACAGATTTATTGAGTTTTGACTTAATTAGTTTGTGACTTTGAGAAAAGAATGATGAAGAAAAAGACAAAAATCTAAAACTACTGACATTGTGGTTAGCTCTTCAATTACTTCTTAGAACTTCTGATTTTTATGAACCGGTAAATGAATCCAAGTAATCAAGACTAGGAAGAGATAACAAGGAGGAAAAAGAAGAAGAAAAGCACACTAAACATTAAACAGTTGAGGAAGGAAAAGATGGAAGATATACTTTTCAATTAGTGCCTCAACATTTACACAGTGTTTTCCGTACAGATCAGTTTTATAGCAAAAATAATCATTAGAATTTGATCACCAAAATATATTTACTAAACACATATTACAATGGCAGTGCTACATAAAATCCCTGATCCAAAAGAATAAAAATCTCTCTTAGAGGTATTAAATCTAATAATTGGTAGCAAAAATGGGAGAAAAAGAGCACATTTTCTTATTTAAATCTGATCACTTCATCTTGTGAACAATTTTAGCATGGTATATGATGGCCAAAATATAAATTATTCTTTACAAATACGTCAAAATTTATCATTGAAAGAAAAAAATTCAAACAAGACTTTAAAGCCTACCTTCCATCTACAACCATGAATTCATGAACTCCAAACTACCAGAATAGAAACTTAAGACTTGACATTTTGTTGTCTGAATTAAAAAGTACTTACACTATTGGCTTCTCCAAGCGACTTCCCTGTGAACCAACAATCTCCCCCAACGTACAAAACACTTGTCCCAGAAAATCCTAAAATAGATAAAAGGATTAAAGCTCAGAAGTTCCAAACTACCTTTACAGTATGCATTTAGCACATCACATTTGCATTGTTTTCATTGTTGAAATACTGAATTTCTAACCTTCAATAATAAATAAGATAAGCCCAATGTGAATTAATTTTAACATGTGGCTATCCTATAAGTTTGAATGGCACTTTACACTTTATGACACAACAGATTTGTTATTTTCAGACATTGCAACCTCACATATCCATAAAATAAAGCTTCAACACCGTCTGGAAATGTGGGTTAAGAAAACAAGGAAGGGATTCAGCGAGAAACACCCGCCTCCTGTTTAGTTCAAAGAACTGTCTATCCTAAATGAGAAGGCAGGAGATCTGGCTGGTCTGTCTGTCCACCGAACTGACCCAAGAGAAGCTGTAGGAAAGTCAGGAGAGAGGACTAACAGAAATAAAATGCTTTCATTTTTACTAAGTTGGTCAATAAATCCATTTATTAAATATATAAGGCATCATATTTAGTTCACTGGGGAGTTTCAGAGAAATGACAGTTCTCAATTGTTAAAAAAAGCCAATTCATGGTTAGGAGCTAGTAATAATCCCACTTTACAGACAAGTAAACTGAAGCATAAAAACACCATGGCATGGACCTGACAATTTAAACCCAAGGCTGACCCACTTAAACTAACTCTCTGCTTAGGGTCTAATCATAGCAACGAGACACAAGAATCAAACAAACCACAAAAGTAAAACCTATCTTATCCTCTACTGTTTTGCATATTTCTCCCCTGCACATTAATGGCATTTATGTAGTTGTTTTCTGTTTCTGTGTGTTTGCGTTTTTCCTTTTTATTTATTTATTTATTTATTTATTTATTTATTTATTTATTTATTTTATTATTCATATGTGCATACAAGGCTTGGGTCATTTCTTCCCCCTGCCCCCACCCTGTGTTTTTCCTATTCAGCCATACATTCACTATTCACAATGCAAAACTCAGCACATAATATTTATCAACCATTCATTGTGTAGGAAAGTTCTACAGAATTCACATTTTACATCTACAGCCATACCACCCTGAATGTGCCCAACCTCGTCTGATCTTGGAAGCTAAGCAGGGTTGGGCATGGTTAGTACTTGGATGGGAGAATTCACATTTTACTACCCTAATGGTTCACATTTTCTATATTTTTACACAATTAGTAATATATTACTGTCTTTCAATGGATATTTTAAATTATTTTCTCTGTGTAGAGAGATGGAAATGAAAACAAGCTATAACATGATCTGCCTCATTATTTAATCTGCTGTTCTGTTCCAGTGATGAAGATTATAATTTGTCACGATGTTTTTTCCAGTAAACAATCCATGCACCTTTTCCACAGCTCCAACCCCATATAGACCAAATGTAGCTTACAGTGTTCTACTTTATGCATTCCCTTTGATGAGACATAAGAACAACATCTGAGGCACCATCTCAAGTATTGGAGAGTGAGATGGACACCAAAATTATTAAGACCAAAAATTTCATTCCATTTGAACTTGGAGGTTTTTTTTTTTTAATTTTCTATTTTTCATGTTGTTTTTATTTTATTTTATATACATATTACTTTCAACCTTCTTTTTTTTATTTTTATTCTTATCTTAATTCTTTTTATTTTTTATTTTCAATCCTGTCTCTGTCTCTCTAAGGCCTGTTCAGTTTAACTGTCGATTAGTAACATAAAACTTCCTATTTATACCTTTGAAACTTTGTTGATTCTTGTTTTGTTTTTTTCCTACCTGTCTATTTGTTTTTTTCCCTTTCTTTAACTCTTCCTTTCCATCATCTCTCACCCTTCCATTCTAAAATTACCATTGTTATTTACACAATGCTAGAAAATACTTAATTGCACACGTACACCGACAGTAACAACACCAAGGAATGATGGAAGACAGAAAAAAAAGGGAAACCAGTTTCCCCAACAGCAAAAAATTAGTACAGGAACCAGAGGGAAATGAAGAAAACAGATACTCAGATCCAGACTCCAACTAAATGAAGATAAACTATGCCGAAGAACCAATGAGCCCACAAGAATAATTTAAAAGAAGACATACTACAGGGAGACAAGACAATTTTACAGAGATGATACTGGATAGGGTCAACCAAAATGTACAGG